CTTAGACTGCAGTATGATCTGCAGCAGCATTTTAAGTTTATTATTTCCAAAAAGGGGATAGTGCTAGTGTGAAAAACAAGAACTACAGAAGAGTTCCTGTGAAAGACATATGAATCTCTGCCCACACAGATGGCTGAGTCAAACAGTACACTAAAAAAATCCAGTGGTGCTTGACAAATCCTAATTCACGACCATTAAAATCTGTGACACAACAACAGACGCAAAATGTTGTAGCAGTTATCTCATGGGAAGTTGATTGCATTTTCTTAAATTCTTGAAAGATAAAAAATCTACCACATTATCTTAGTGTGTCTTTAATGAGGACTCACGTAAAGCCCTAAAAACAACCAATTCTTCCTCACTCCTATTCTCTAAGGCAGTGTTTATAGTTCATACAGATATTAGTCCTATTAAGATCCAAGATATTCTATTGAGGCATAAGATATATGGTATGAGTCCTTGCTTCAGATAACATGGCCCAAACACTAGATAGACATGAAGAAGCCCAGAAGCACAACTAAGAATTCTTTTCTAGCTTAATGCAATCTGCAGGAAATACAGATTTCCAGGGATTTTATTTGTAAAGGTAACAATGTGTGGTGGAGGTGAATGAAAAGAACATATCAAACCAGGAATGTGGAATATGACATCACCAGAAGTTTGTACTGGCAGAGCAGGAAGAGAATGGGAAGAGACACAGCTCATGAAGCTGTCATCAAATGTCACCTCAGTTCAGGTCTGCTAAGGATCCTTCCTCTTCCACAGAGAGCAATAGAGTTCTTCCCAGTCAAGACTACAGTAATGAGCTGTACTTGTTATATACAGTTGTCCCATGAAAGAAAAACGTATGAAATATTGTGAGACTTGAACACGAACAATGAGGGGCTTAAAGGATTTGTAAAATCCTTTTGTTCCTACTGCTGTCTTCACTTTGCAGCACTTCTGACTCATTAGGAGACAAACTCAATACTCTAAGTTGTGCCAGCTTCCAAAGAAGACAGACCCTTCTGTCTGCCTGTCCAGTGGTGCGCTAAGATCTGGGAGAAAATGTACTGGATGAATCTGAGCACCCTTCATTCAGGACTCATCATGATTTCAGTACTGCAACCAACAGGTATCAGCAAATTAGTAGAAAAAGACTGAGCTGGGAGCACAGTGCAAGACCTGGCTGTGTCCTAACCAGAGAGAAAGCTACTTATAAGGACTGGTAAATGCTCTGCAGTTGGGGCTCAGAAAAATTTTCTGGGATCCCTACAATACCATTTCAGTTTATGCTTGCCAACAGACAACTAGGAAGTTTTCACTGGTGTCATTGAAGATTCAAGTAATATTGTTAAAATCCGAACAAAATTTGTTACAGATAGAAAAAAAGTAGCTTCAGCTCTCAAAATCATTGAGGTGTTCATGTTGCTTCTAGATCATGAAGGCCATGGATGGATAATGTATACATAATTCAGAAGTTGCAGAGGCAGTGAAAACCAACACATCAACACACAAAGCAACATTTTACAAAGTTTTTTCCAGGTGGATTGCAAATGTGTGCTCTAAGAACGAAACTTTAACCAGGATTAACAAAAATAAATATGCCTAATTTCAATTCCAATTAAATGTGCAGATACTACTGGACATAGTAGTGCACAGAAAAAAAACCCTACTTTTATGAGGTTAGAAACCGCTTTATGCCACAAAATTGCAACACACTCATAGTGCAAATCCACAGTAGTGACTTTTAAAAAGTAATCCTAATTTAATGATGCAATTTTAAATATTCCTCATCAGGATGTAGTGAATGAGCCTTATAAAAGGCAGAAGAATTTCCATGATTCTGACACATCAGAGAAGAAGGAGGATAAAGAAAGGTGACGTATATCGCTATTCCAAAGAATACAACTTTCATGAATTGCAGGAGTAAAGACTGAACAGAACTCGTGCTTTATCTGGAAGTCTAGAAGACCTGATTGACTGTAATTCCTGAGAAGTATCACAGGAGATATTTCAATGCCAAGTCGCTCTGAACATCAGGTAAGTAGTTTGTTGCTCTAGCCTGAAGTGTGGGTTTCCATCTGTCTAAATCATGTTAAGTGTCAAGTAGAAATGCATCTTCCTTTTACTGAAGACTCATGGGTTTTCAAGAAGGTACCAATCTTGTCAGGAATTTTGCTTGGAAGAATTTTAAGATTAGGGAAAAAGTATAAAACAAAAGGTTATTAAGCTAGGAAGTCTCCTGAAAGATGATACATTTTGTGGGCTGAGAAAGTAACTGAGGAAGTTAAAATTACACTCAAACATATCAGTGTGATGACAGTTTCATTACAGCATGTTATTGGAGAATTATTTCATGCTCCTCAAAATCGCCAGACAACTTCTTTTGAAAACAGAATTCTCTATTAAATTTTCCAGCTCATAAATGAAACTAAACCAAAAGACTTTTAAAGCCTGGCAATAAAAACTACCCTAATTTTCAGTAAAACTCAATTTCTGACATACATCTGGAAATAGGACTGCTCCAGGCAAAGACCTGGAACAGAGTGTGTCCTTGGATGAGCCCAGCACAGTAGCACTGCAAGAGCACAATGAAAGTAACTCAACCAATCACAACTCTCACACTCCTTTAGATAATTGTGCCAGGCCTAACAAGTCCTTTAAGATCTTACGTGTCCCACAGAAACATCATAAACAGAGCACTCACTACAACAAGTGAAGCACAACCTGTATGGAATTGTCACCATTCCCCACATATAAAACCCACATCACTGCATGTCTATGCAAGCTGGAGCTGCTGCCAGCTGCTTTTTCCAGACATGACCTCAAAAACCACTGCATAGGGGCAGCCAAGCAGGGCTGTTACAATGCAGTGGACAACCCTAAGAGCCTAATTCTCTCCCCCCTCACTACCCAGAGATAGAACTGGTACTAGAAAACAACCAACAAAACTAAGATTTGGGGTCCAGATTTGATAGTAACAGGTGTGCAGAACAAAATTAAATTAATATTCCTTAATTTTACTAATCAATTTTAAAAATCTTTCTATCTCCCCCTAGTGGCCCCAATACTTCCTTAGAAGGTATATAAGAAAATATATAAGAAGCAGACTCATATTGATCTCCAGATGTTCCCACTTCCTGAGAAAAATGTAGTTATTGGCCTACCTTCATCCTCATTTGGGGTCTTCATAAATAAGGAAGAACAAACTTTACCAAAATATCCAGACGCTCATAAATAAGAAAAGTTTTTAAATGTTTCAGAAAACATTTCTTAGAACCAGGTGTTTAGACCTTCAAAAGAACTTTCCTAGAAATCTGAAGCCTTTTTTGGACACTCAAGACAGCATTGTTGAAAGTGTGATACTACCATAATTGCCCTCATTTTTAACTTCTTGGAATTTCTGGGTCTGACCAGCTGTCATTTCATTTCAGCTAAATGCAGAAGTACATGCAGTGCACAATACTACAGTGACACACCAGCCCTGAGATGTAGATGTTTTCTAGCATTAATAACTACCCTTCTTCCTGAACTTCAATTATTAGATTCATATTAAGTTGCAAAACCCCATTGCTCTTCAATGTGTTAAATATGTGTGTATATATGAAATTTACTTTCGAATAACAGACTATTAAAAAAAGAACTCAAAATCCCATCAAACAAACAACCAAAACGAACTTTGATTTAGTAACAATCAAACAGTCTTTAATTATGACCCCAGTTCCAATGAGAAACCAAACAAGGTTATTCCTAAATAGAAATAAGTGGCAAAAAATGACCCATCTATGCAAAAGAACATGTTTTTCTACTGTTCTTTCTGTTTTAAAGCCCATTATGATATGTTGGTCTTTGCCAATAACAATTTTGCAGGGATAAACAAGTATTCCAAGTTACAGGTTAGAGACAGCTAGAAATATACTCCCAAATTTTCAAGTCTCAATACTAAACTCTTTCCATGAGATTGCACTTACTTCTCTACACACCTAATCTTAAATATCTAAAGAGAAATTCAGGAGCGAACTTTAGGTACTCTGGGTTTCAAACCTAGGGAAAGGCTAGAGAGGGAGTAGAAAAGAAGAAGCAATGGTAGCTACAATCTCCTGAACAAAACAAAGAGCTTTCCAACCAGCTTAAGAAGTGGAAAAGATTCAGGCCTCACCTAAACCATTTATATGGAGATAATTTATGGGAGAGAAGCTGGTTTTCCTCAGAAAAATGAAACACAAAACACACAGCAAGAAACCACAAATAATTCCGTTGGATTTGAAAACTTACATGAAGATCATACTTGAACAAAACCTCAGCTGCTGGAAACAAATTAAGATACCCCTTTAAATCAAGATAAGAATTTTATTTTCTCTGATGAAAATTCACTGTGATGCGTTATATGAAGACATACAGATAGACTAATTTCAACCACTTTAAGAATTTCAATTATCAGCTTAAATATCTGTTACTCTTGTTAGAATTAGAAAAAGTCACTACAAATGTAGCAAAGGGGAGCACTTTAGTCTCGGTCCCACATATTCCCTTGGTAACAGAGGTAAAAGTGTAGAACAGTACCTCTAGGAAATCAGAAGTATTTCACTGCTATTTAAAAAACCTAAAACACAACATGCATGTTTGTACACATACATACTCTGGAATTATATGCTGACACCATGTAATGAAAAGTATGATCATTTTTGTGAATTTGATAGTATCAAAGCGATTGAATCTGATTTATGCAGGTTAAATTGCTGCTTTAAATTAGTAAAAAATATATAACCTAATGATGTCATCCTGTTGCTTTACTGTATATATGTGTAGGGTGACAGTGCATTTGGAGGTATTGCATTGAAAAGCTAATCTGAATTGCATGCTGACAAAAAAAAAAAAAAAGTATCAGTACAAACATCCCCTCAGAACATGTGAATGAATCCTGCTTCCATTCAGTGTCTATGCTAAATTTTGTAAAGAAGTTGGAGTTTGTTCATGTGCATGATCTGGTTACCTGTGAGACATTTTGGAGATTTTACCTGTCCAACCAAGCCAGAAGACTTTTAGCTGCTCCAATCAGATCCACTACTGATGTCAGAAAATCATTCGGTAATTTGCGACTGGTCCTTCCATCGTAGTGACCACTCCTCCTCCTCCCAGTAATGAAGTTCTGCAGATTTTTGGCAGATGCATTCAGTTTGTGAGAAAGGGTTTTTAGATTTTCTGTTTCCAAACCATAGTTCTGCATTGGGAAAAAAAAAAAAAAAAAAAGAAAGTTAGCTTTACAGATGAACAGAAAGAACCAAGAACAGCAAGACTGATCTTCTAATTCAAAACTTAACCATTCCTAATAATTAAGGCAGAAATACACCCACTCAGTAACTTTTAAATGTATAGAATGTTCTGTTTCTGAAGTGCATAAAAAGAGAACAAAAGAAGAGCAAAATTATGAGTGATCCTTTAGCTTGTTCTAAGTGAACTGAGAAAAACATCTCAAAGAAAAAAACCTAGGCTGGAAAATTGTTTTTCAAAGCAGTGCATCACTGTCCGTAGATCACCAGAATCACAGAATGGTGGGGGTTGGAAGGGACCTTCAAGATCAAAGGTGCACAGACACCTTTCACTAGAGCAGGTTTCTCGGAGCCCCATCCAACCTGGCCTTGATCAGAGGGTTCTCTCTGTACACCTGATAATTAGGGATCAGTACCCTATGTCCCTACTCACAATAACTCCTAAGACACACCTGACACCAGGGCTTGCAACTAGCAGAAGTATGCAGCATGGATATGGTGTGACACTGAATTGGTTTTGTTGGCTTCAGAGATCTAAGTTAACTAGCATACTTCTGTTCTCTGTCAGCAGTAAAGGACCAGCACCATCACAGACCAGGGAACACAGTGTGCCACAGTGCCGCCTCAATCTCTATTTCACTCATTTAAAGTCAAGCTTGAAACTTTATTTTAAGAGTCAATCTCTTAAATTAAGTTCCTTAGCTGTGCAGTAGAGACAGAAACAATTATGCAGAAATATTAACGAACAATATTAACAAATATTAGCTGGAAATCCTTCAAGAGTACAAATGTTACCAAAACAGCACTCAAGAATGCCCTGATTTAATGTTCAATTACAACATAATATAGTACCATTAGTGATTTGTCATTTCTAGAAAAGATTTGTTTTCTTCACAGACACAAAGAGTGATAGAGTTATTACAAAAAGGACTAATTTGCCTTTGCAAAGGAATAAGCAATTGCACAGACTTGGGCTTAGTACTCCTCTAAGGGAACTACAGAATTTTGAAGGTTCTCACTTCAGCCACATCACAGGGTGATAGCAGGGGGTGCTGACAATTTGCTCAGTTGACAATGGAATGGGCTGCTCATTACAGAACATGGACCATTTCCTACCACCAACAATGAAGTGGAATGCACAAAGCCCCTCAGATGCACACAGAAAAATCTTCTTCCTAATGACACTCCCCCAGCTCTCCTCCCATGCCCCAGGTCTGCCTCCCATGCTGATCTACCCACAAGGAGAGATGGGAGAATAGATACACTCCTCAATGCTAATTAAAGACTGCTAAAGATAATTCACTTTAGTCTTTTTTCTATAGGAATTGAGGGGCCGGGTGCAAGGTGGTGATTATTTACAGCAGTTGTCGTGCTCCCAATCCAAACCATCTACTAAATGAATTTAATCTTCTTTTACTACACGGGGACTGCAGGAACATCATCCTGAAGCCATTCCCAGTGAGCCCCTGTCCCTCCCATGCCAGTGGGGGCTCATGACGGCAAGGACACGGCTTGTCTGCCATCTCCCAGCCAGCTGTGTGTGCTTATGGACTGAACACACTCTGTGAGGAGCTGCTCAACCAACAACCATCCTTCTGCAGCAGAGAATGCACTCTGCAACTCAGCTTAAGGGGCACTGACCTTATACTAAGGTTGCACTTTATAAACTATTACTGGAACTTCTGTGAACATCCCTATCTCGGGCAAGGAAGGCTTTGCAGGCATTTCTCAGCTACACAGATGCTGCCCTCTGCCACTACATTCAGTCCCAATTAGACAAATTGTATATTTGGGCAGTGACTTTTCCACCATGTAAATATTCAAGAGCAATTATACAACAGATAGCATTTGGTTATAAATAAAAAATTACAAGATGGAAGCAATTAATTGGGATTGAAAAGTAAAAGGTACTTTATTTTGCAGCTAAATGGCTCATAACTAATAACTTATTAAATCAGTACAAAGTAAAGAGATAGACATCAGATACATAGATATCTGTTTTTTTTCCTGCAGCTTCCAGTGGTTGGTCTGAGTGACGAAGCACAATGGGTATGAGGAGTGGGTAGGAGTAAGTTTAAAAAACATAAGAGGTTTGTTCTTACTTCATCCTGTTTCTTGACCATCTAACTCATTTTGGCAAAATTAACAGGGGAAGAACCAAATGAAAGATATTCTGGATGAATGGTAAGTCGCCAAAATTGTCTTAAAGACCAGCCAAAGCAAAGCCCAAACAACGTGGCACTCACAGCCCCAAACGTGGGGGGCACAACCAGCGGCTGCAGGCCAGTCACAGGGCTGCCTTCTTTCTGATACACTGAAACGCTGAATTTCTTCATTCAGCAGGCTGCTCCTGAGCGGCTGAGTCTGATTACCCAAATATAACATGAAGGTGGGCGAGGCAGGGGTGTGTGGGGAAGGTGCCATGCAAGCCCAGGCACCTCCCCGTCACCCCAGCCCTGCCCCACACAGGGCCCACAGCTGAGGCTGGATCCCAACCGTCCTCAACAACCCCAGATTATTTCCACTCCCCCTCTTTTGCCACCTCCTCTTTGTCACCTTGTCTGTTCCTCATCTGTTGGGACAGGCAGGTGCTGGTTCCCAGCCTGTGCAGGTGTTCCATGCCCACCCCAGCAGGAGCCCTGGCAGGCAGTGCACAGACCTCCAGTACCAACAGAAACTAAAGCACCAGAAGAAAAGAAAATCTGCAGTATTGAACACTGCAGACCAAGCAAAATAACACTCAAGATTTTTTTCTGTAACAGGAAAATAGGCGGCATTTATGTATACACTTCTTTAGAAAATCAGCTATAAAAGCTTAGTGGCTTCCTCCTATTATCAAAGTGATGGCCACCTACAGCCACATTCTATTTCAGAGGCCTTTTTTCACCATCAGATAGAAGCTGAAGGGAGGGAATGCTAATAGATTCAAAGCCTATTTTCACACATATTCATCAAATATGTGTGTGTGTGTGTGTGTGTGTTCTTTACCATAAAACACTAAGCCTAAACCACGTGCAAATTCAGTCTTACATGAAGATGACACAGACTTTGGCAAAGCCTCAACCTGTAATACTATACAGATAAAGCCAGAGATGGAAAATGCAGAGATAAATTTCAGGCAAAATATATTTTGGGGCAGCTGTATTTATTGAAGGCTTTAAGTAGAAGGATCCTAAAGCAGCAGCCAAGCTAACAAAAGCCTCACTTTGTTTATCACTAATATTTCTGGTCCACATTAAAAGCGACCAGAGCTGTGTGTTCTAATACCGGAAAAAAAGCTTGCTTAGATAAAAACCGCCAAGTTTAATCATACTTTATATTCAATAATATACTATTAACAATACGGTCTTTTTAGAAATGCACTGAGTTTATTTTCAAGCACTGTAAGAAGATAATTGCAGGCAAAGGAGACAGTTCTTTGTTTTTCCCTAGTCTGCATTTAGCCAGCACTAACTTGAGTTGTGCTTTCATTAGCCAAAATATATTCACAGTCACTGAAAGAACCACAAAGAAATCACTGCATGCCTGTAGAGATTCCGAGAAGTGACACAAGTCCAGGCATTCACTTCCACAATGAGAGGCCACAGAGTGTCTTCAGAGATATCCTGCCTCTGCAGAAACAGCTTAATGGAGTCTCTTCTGGCAATCATAAAACAAGAACTTGATGAAGCTGAACTACACAGAGTAATAGCTTGTCAGCAGGTGTTTGAACTAAAGGTGGTGGGAGCTATTAATAGACACCTTACCTGCTAATTACTTTTCTGTGGCTTCACATGACAGTGTGAATGAGGAATTGTAGCTCTTTTCTTCACATGCTGACAAGCAGCAGCTCTAATCACCACTGATGAGTTTTGCTGGGGTTTTTTTGTGAGAAGAGCCAGCCTGGTCCCTCTGCCAGCCCAGCCCAAGGGTAGGAAGAGAGTTCACTAACCAAATGTGGAAGTAAAGCAAAATTTTCTTTAACTAGCTTGATAAATGTTCAGTTGTGCTCCCTGATTCCCTCAATTTCAAAAAAAAAAAAAACAAAAAAAAAAACAAATTTAGACCTCATCTCTTTCCTGTATTAAATTCACTTTAAAGTCACTTGATTCTTGTTGGCAGGGAAGTGCATGTGACACTGTTAGCACAGGTTGAAAAGTAAAGTGTTCCTAACTCAGACAGTACTAACTCTCTGGCTTAGACAGACTGTTTAGAAGATGCCAGGACTTTAGTTTAGGGTATTTTTATACTGCCCACTGCAAATGCAAGGCCATCTCAGCTATGTAAATAAGCCAAGCTCAGATCTAAACACAGCACAACGTGCAACGCAGACATCACCACAGTCCCATTAACAAATCCAGAAATCCCTTACAACAGCTGTCTTGATCACAACTTTTATGTAACCACGAATAGCTCTATGTCTCCAAGCACAAATGCTGTATCAAGTTCAGTGACACTCTTTTACTCATACAAACACTCCAAGACATGGAAATGAGCATATGGCCTCTCTAAATCACTGTGTTGTGTCTTGTCCCCAGAAAGCTGGAAACCTTGTAGAACAAAAGGCATGAAAACCATACTGCTGGAAACCATGTGGAGCAAAAGGCATGCAGAGACCAGTGTTAACTTCTACTGAAGAGATACAAGATGGGAACTGAAGATGCTACTCTAACACTGGTGCTTCTGGGCAAGAAGAAAATAAAAGCAGCATCTTCACCAGACAGCAGAGCAGATAGTAGTGCTTACATCAATTAATTTCTGTTGCTCCTCTGCAGAAGGCAACCACGACTACATAAACTGAAGAAGGTGAATGTTTATTTTAATTTGGTAAATAATTCTTTTAACACACACAAACAATATATTTTAAAGAAGAAAGGACATGGCAACTTTTTGAAAAGACAAATTTTATAGTCTAGATAGCTGTACTGAGTAATAAAATACGTGTAAAGAAGTGCAGCTTCTCAATTATATC